TGGGGGTAGCTGGGGAGGCTGGGGGAGCCGCCATGACTGCGGGCGTGAGCGAGGAGCAGGCTCCCAGCTCCTCGGGAAGGGACGGTTTTCGCCGGTAAAAAGAACAATAAATTACCCCCTTCCCTGAAGTGCTTATGTCTAGTGAACAGGTACCGATAGAAAATTGCAAAATTTTAACCTCTGAATTCTTTAATACTGAGGAGTGTGTAAAAAAAACCTCAGGCTATTTAAAGTTATAAAGATTCGTTGTGGAAAATTGTCCTTTAAGCCCAGTGAGGAAGATGCCTTGTGATTCTTCAAGGAATTATTCATTAAAAACTCCAGCAGCTATGGCAACTTTACTGTTACACCATATATGAACACCTGTGTTTACACAAACACCATCTGGAAATCAACCAAATAATATAATGGCTTAAAATTTGAAAACATAGGTCTATATCCAAAAGTCGAATCAGTAATTATTATGGTTACATTAAATGACACTAAAAAACACCACAATAAAACAACATTACAGAGATTTTAAGAAGCATGTAGTGTATCTAGCATCCTTTAGGGTAATTCTGGAGTGATACCAGAGTGCAGTTCTGGATTCAGTTTAATCCGTCTCCATGTGGAAATGGCTATGACTGGATCAAGAACTCCTAGTTCTCCAGCAAAGAATTGTAACACGCTTGTATAATACCTGAATCAGTTGCAAAAGGGAACAGCTGTATTAGTTGTCCGAGAAAATCAGCAGTAGGACAGAGTAGTTTCTCATATTGCATCTCCACATGGTCTCACTAATCATTTCCCCATTTTGTTTCAGGCTTTGAGAAAGGTTTGAGGGGGAGAGGTGTCATGCGTTACTGAATATTTTTGAAATATTCTTGTATTAGTCTTTAGAAAAATCTAAGCCTTTATTTTCATCACCAGGAGGCACAATAGCTACTGTTATCCATTGTTAAAATCCTATAGCTTTCTATCTGTAGATAATGTCTATTTATTATGGGGAAAAATGAGCAAACAAATTATATAGTGTAAAGACATTTTAGTTTTGTTGTTAATGAATGACAGGGTGTTCTAAATGGTATATTTTTTATCACTGATTTTAATTACCTTAAAAGAAAATCCTCACATATACCATTAGCATAGTAAATAGATTATGGCATTATGCAATAAAAATGACAAAAAAGTACAGTAAAAGTAAAAATTCAGGCTGTAAGCTTCATTTCTGGTTTCAGATATCTCTGTTTCAAGCTTCTGTACTTTCAAATTAGCAAAAGGTCATCATGTATTCCCACTGTTATCAATGGGAGCGTTTCTATTTATATTTCAAAAGAAATACAGTAGGTATTCAATACTGTATTTTGTCTAGGAACTATCTTTAAATTTTCTGTAGAAATGTTGGTTTGAATGAGAGAAATGTCAAAATGTCATGCTCCAAAAACCAGCAGCGCAGTCGTTTTACTTCTGATTATAGTATTTTTTAAGAGCTGGGTAATTTCGAGAAAAATGCGTTTCTAAAAGTGGTCATTAAAATTTTCATTAGGCACTCAATTTTCTTTCTTTCTGATTTTCACGCTGGCTGTATAAGAGAACCTGGAGTCCAGTGATTCCAAAAATATATATCGAGTTTGGAATGAGGACCCCTTTTGTCGGTTACTGTATTTTCAACTCATCTCCAGGAGCAACTTTTAGATTTCTAGTCTTGAAAATACATGTGCTGACTTCAGGTTTTTGAAAGCTACCAAATAGTTTTCAATAGTCTATAATATTGCTTCTAATATTTTATTCTTCTTCTTAACATCAGATTTCACTAATCATTTACCAAAACTTAACACACCCTACCCGACTCCCAATTGTTCTGTAGTTCTCTGCCAAAGTTTGCCAGTTTTTGTGACAACTGTCATTTGTGCTGTAAGGACTACCTGTTTCCTTATTCCAGGGCCTAGTTATCTGATAAAATATTAAATGGTGAAAAGAGAAATTATATGGTAGGTAATCTGATATTTCTCTTAGATATTTTCTTGCACATGGAAATAAGTAAAAATAAACAGCTAACGCTTTGCTGTGAGAGTCCAACCCAGTACAATGATACAGATTAATAGGAAAAAAGTACTGTAGCAAATTAAATTATGTTTCTGGCAACTTTTGTTGTTAGCCAATCAGAGAAAATTATAACACATAAAGAGAATGAATAATGAAAAATAAATGCACTTTATCAAAATAATTAGAAAAATACATGAGAAAAACCTTGTCTTTTCTCTTCAAAGAGGCAGAAGACATGTAAAATCATATTCCAGGATCTCAGAAATATGCCAAAGTCTTCCAGCAAAAAAAGGAAGAATTGTGTATCTATTGTTAGCAAGGTAAGAGATCTTAAGAACGTTTTTAAATGACAAGAGGAATTATAAATGTTGGAGTGCATGAGACAGGAATTTTAGTTCATTTTCACCACAGAAGTAGTCTGGGTTTTTTAATAGTCAGTGGCATTTGTCCATGCACAATGTTGGTTTCTTTTTCTCACCTTCTCTCATTTGGTCCATGCACAGAAATTTTGCATTTACCGAGCACTGTTGTAAACAGACGCCACCATTTTTTTTCTAATTTTCTAGTTGCTGACTTTAATGTCAAAATTCAGATCTAGGATTAACAAAAACATATAAAATGCTGGGATATTAGACAGAAGCGCTGTCTAAAAAGTACCAGAGGGTAAAATGACCTGGTATTTGTCCCCTACTGGTTTGGGAGGGAAACAAAGAACATGTTCACTGAAGAAATTCTGCACAACACAGCTGTGGACAGGACAGCAAAGGAACAAAATTTAGAAGCATTAATTGTAGTGCTTAAGACCATGCTACTTTTCATTTTTTGTAATGTTAGGATTCAAAGCCGAGTGAGACTCCAAAGGCAATGTGTGCAGCAGGCAGGCGTCAATAAGGGAGTTTGTTGCAGCAGCTGTACCTTTGTGGTTTTGCATTACAAACCATTAAATTGAGCAAAACATAAACCCACATGAAATAAATTCAGCAGCAGCTTAAGTTTTTACATGAAGCACTGAAAAAAACAAAGAACTGACAGTATGGGAATTAAAGAGGAGGAGACTGAGGACAGTGGAAGGGACACGTTTTTGCATTCAGAGAGGGGGGCATATGAATTCTACTAACTCCAGATTTGCTTTATCCATTCCTTATATTCTGTAAAGGCATATTTAAATACAATACAAGGCTGGACATTTTGAAAGTATATAATTAATTAGCTCTTTTTCTTGGAATGAAACTAACAGCCCTATCTATTATATATGTCTTCATATATATGCTAATTTTCAAAATAGTATTCATTTACCTTAAGAACAGAAAGTGCTTGAATTGATCTTTCAGAGTACTGTTTAAACTGATTAACAGATTGATTTCTGAGGTGCATAGAACTTCAAAATGAAATTCCTGAGTGACCTTAAATGCTAAATTCATCAAAATCTGAGGACTTGGAATTGTCCCTAAGCAAAAATTCTAGTATGACAATCTGTGATTTCTGTTCTGGGCTCGCTTACTAACTGATTCCTAGGAAAGTGACAAGTTTAGTATTTGTGGCTCAATTTATCCTCTTTTGAAAGGGAGGTAGTATACTCACCTTCCAGATTAAAGTTTACAGATAGTACCTCTCAAAATATTTTGCAAAAAATGCTTTAAGTGATACAATAAGTAAATATTTTGCTGACTTGAGCTGCCTAATTTTTAAAAAGCAACAGTTTTAAAGTTTCTATTGTGGAACAGTCTCAAATGTTTTCCCTTGAGTTTATTTGTACTTGCAGTCCCTTAAGATGTATTGGAGATATGTTTTCAAGTACAGTAATCACCAGATCTGCATGCACCATTATTATCACAGATGTTTTCATTACCAGGCCAGTCATTACTGCTCTAACCCCCATGTCTATAGACCCACGCTATCCATAAGAATAATAGATTTTTCTCTGCCTTGTTTCTTCTGTAGCAGAAAAATGCACAGAAATCACATTAAATATTAAAGTGATATCACTAATAATGATTGCAAAAATCTCTTCCATGCACTCTCCCAGGTCATTGCATCTGCAAAATGTCGCGCAGTGCAGGCTTACTCTGAATCTGGTACCTTTCTGTACACTCAGAAGTTAGGCAGTAAGATAACGGGCAGTTGCTGCCAAATATCTCCTGCGTTACAAGCC